GGCCGCACCCTTGCGCCTGCTCAGTGCAGGTTCCTGGGCTGCGGTAGCCATGCTGAACCCGTACGGAGAGGCGAGTGGGGGGGACAGGGTCGTTGACAGCGGGATAGGAAGCCGGGGATAAGGAAAAGCAGCAGTAATTAGAGCGCTCTGGGTCTCCGGAAATAGGCCTAGGTCATGCAGTTCCCTTGGCCCCTTGCGCGACCCCCAGGAACCTTCGAAAAACTGGCACCCATGGAGGTGGGGGAAGAGGGGCGGCTGCCACGTGACCCGGGTTAGCCAATCTGGATGTTGCTGACGTGGCCGCTAGGCCCTGGTGATTCCCCCCCCCCCCCCCGTTCCATCGGGAAGGGAGGGGCTGGGGGCTAAGCCCCCTCCCCCAACGCAGGTTCAGTTTCCTGGGGGGGGTGACACCCCGGATTACATTCTCCCCCCGCACCAAGCCGAGGGGAACATTGGATCCCCCCGGAAGGTTCCAAGATCCAGGTAAGAAGGGGCCCTTGGATGGGGATGTTGTCATTTACGTGCTTAACCAATGGTGGGGACTCCGAGAGGGACGTTCTTGGGGTTCAGAGTAGAATCCTGAGGGTGGGAGGGTTTGTCCTTCAAATAGTTAATAGCCAATGGGAGCGTGAAGGGGAGCGAGCGGGAGAGGGCACCTCTGATGGGGGAGGGGAATGGCCAATCTCATGCCTCCTTACCTATTGGAGGGCAAAGGGGCGTGGGGGCAGTATGTCCCCCCCATTCCATTCGTCCCCTAGGGGGTACAAGATCCCGGAGAGAGGTGAGGTTTCCTTCGGAAGGCCGGAGGAAAGGCTGACCTTGTGGGTTGGGGAGTAGCAGTGGTGACTAGTTTCTACTTGTGGATGTGAAGGTTTAGAGCTGGCAACTCGGGGTGTGAACTGAGGTTATTCTCAGGCGCCCACTCCCTTTCTCCCCAGACCCTGGAAGAAGCATTTCTGTACTTCCTTTGTGTAAGCGGTCATCACATGGCATGCTGGAGGTTTACGCTTGGAGTCGCTTTTCGAATTTGTGTGCATTCACGTGGACACGGCCTATGAAGCCTTCCTCACAAAACTTCGTTGCCCTGTTGGGGTCTTAGCTGAGCACACATCTACCCCAGGCTGGGGAGTGCTTACAGGATGAAAGCTCAGGGTCCGCTTGGGAGCAGAAACCAGGCCCAAGGTGGGTGCTGGGAGGGTGGTAGAAAGCGTAATCTGAGACGAGGGGAATGAGGTTTAGTACCTGGAATGATCTCACAGTTCACAAGGTTTCGGGTTTCTCCAGGGTGGCGTTTTTTGCTTCTTTATCCCCTCCCCCATTCCTGAACAGCTCTTTCCTTGTGCACTGCCGGGGAGGGAACGGAAAGGAGGGGAGAGTTATTTTTCCAAATTACTGAGTAGCTGTAGCCTCTGACTCATGGTGGGAAGGGAGGGTTGGGAGAGAGCGTAGAACAGTGATTTTCCGGAATGTCGGGAAATAAGCCAGAGTAATGTCTGGCTGGCTACCCTTTCGCTTTCTAAGGCCCAGTATTTTCTCGCACTCCTAAATTTTTCTTTCTTGGCCGGCCTATGTGCAGGCTTGCGAGGCCCCGGGTAGAGAAGAGCAGATTTGGGAGGCTGGGCAACTGGGGGGAGGGGAGGTCTCTGCGAAGTTGCTGTGTCATTGTCCTTCCTGCTGTAGCCACGCGCGGGCCCACATGTACTTTGGGGGCAGAGGCCTGATGCCGGGGCGGGGGGAGGGTGGATATTTGGGAGGGCGAACCTGCTTTCCCGGTGCGCACTTCCCCCCGCAGGGTTTGCCCGACCCAGAGGTCCTGGAGACGGGCAATTGACGTCCATTTTAGACGCAGTAACCGAGGCTAGGGACTTGAGCTACTGCGGAGTGAGGGAGGGTGACGGTAGGACCTTAAGGATCTAGATCCTCACGAGCCCTTCCAGGGGGAGGGGGTTCTTATACTCGTTTACAAAATTAATTTCTTTTCTGATGTATACAGTGTTTTCTTCCTTGGTGTCTAGAAAAAGGGAAATGGAGGGGGGAACCTTACGATGAAACCCAACTGGGGGAAATTCTTTCACTCTCGTATATGGGGACGGGGAGCCCCAGAGATGGCTTTAGAGATCCTGACCTAGTTGTGCTCTGGTTCTTTTTTCATTTATAGTTTAATCCTATTCAGATAACCAGATTGTGGGAAAGACTCAGATTAGTGAGTTTGGGGGGGGTGAAATTGAGCTCCTAAAATGGCTCCTGCTCCTCCTCGGAGGCGGACGGCCCGGGGGGAGGGGAGAAAGGGAGAGGAGGAGGGGGAGGGCTAGTGAGCTGCAGCGGCCGCCTCCTCCGCTTGCCCTCCTCCCTGGCGCTGACCGATGGACCAGCCGCACCGTGGGGAGGACTCCGGACCCCGGTGGGGGGATGGGGGGCCCTTTCGCCCCCACGGCGGAGGGACCTTAAGGGGGTTACGGGCATGCCCTCGGGAAGGGGGAGGCGGGGAGCGTGTGGAAAAGTCTGAGCTCCCCCTGTGTGTGTGTGTGTGTGTGTGGTCGCGGGGGGGGGTGTTCATACCGATTCGCCTCTCGCAGAACTTGAATTTTCTGCTGTGAGCTAGACAACCTGATGAAATTTGGGGAGAGGGTGGGTTTCATATGTAGGTGTGCTTGGAGATTTTGTTCCCATTTGAGGGCTGCCAAATTTTTGTCGAGCGGGCAGATGTTTGTATTGATAACTGAAGGTGTTGAGGAATTGGAGAGGAGGTTCAGGTGCAAGTTTTTGGAACGTATTCTAGATTTGTTTGGTTACCTTGATAGCAGCTTTGGGAAGTTAAAAGCGCGATTCAGAGTACTGTTTTGCCTGTGTCATTCGGTTGTTTGACCTGGGGAAGGACGGGTATGATTTTAAGACTCCGGCAAGCCAGTATTTTTTTGTGAAACATAGGGAAGTTAGATCCTGTCTTCGTTACATTCGGGAGCCTTAGCTGTTTGCCGGAGTGCCAGGCCGCGGCTTTTAAGATGGCGTCTTCTTCCTCGTTTTAGATTCTTCAGTGCAGCGGCCTCACCGCCTAGAACCACCACTCGCCAAGCGTCCTGCGGCCACACCCTAGCGGGCTGAAGTTGGCTACGCCCATAAGGTCCTCTCCAGTCTTGGCCAATGGAGGAGCTACGAATGGCACGACCTGCCCGAGCTTGGCAGTCGCCGGTCGCACCGGGCCTGGACGCCTGGGAAGACTTTGTTGAAAAGGGAGGTGGGGAGAGGGTGCACCTCTGCCAACCTCCCTCTTTCCTTGGAGTCGCCGAACCACAGCGCAGCCAATTGGCTCAGAGATATGGCGGGTTGCCGCTTCCCAGTGGGCCTATGCAGTTCTCTTCTGCCTGGTGACTGACGCCTTGGAAATGGAGTGTGTGATATCATCGTCTCCGTTGGCCAATAGAAAGCGCTCCCGCGGAGAGGCGTTCCTCACCCTTCGAATCGGCTTCTTCACGCGCGTGAGCGAGCGTGCACGCGCGGAGGGGGTGGGGGAAATCTCGAGCACGGTGGCGCGCATGAGCGGCGAAGCTCCTCCCCCCGCCTATATATAAAGGGCTGGCGCGGGGCTCGGCGGCGCCATTTCGCGCTGGAGTTGGAGCAGCCTCTAGAACGGCCTGGAGGATTCTGCCTACCGATACAGAGCCTTCGGGTCGTCGGGGCCCGCGGTTACAATCCACGTCCATCCGCTTGGAAATGGCCTTCGTCTCGGCCTATGACCGGTCCCGGCGGACAGTACAGACCCCGTAGAAGCCCCCGACGCTCCCCTTTTTCGGGCCCCGCCCAATCCTCGGAATCTGTCCACCCCCTCTACTCCGCCCTCAAGAGGATTTCAAAGATGGAGGCGGCGGCTCCCTAAACCACTTTTCGTGTTCATC